TACTAATTTATAAATCATGTACCTATTGATGATATGCATGTCTTGCCACACTAATGTAGGATGTACAAAACACACAGCAGGAAAAACGTAAAAGAATGAGAAACAGTAATCATAACCATAGTCTTGTCTGCACATCAAGGTGGGTTACCTTGTGCACTCTGGAGACTACAAGTTAGAAAATGGAGTTTTGGGGGCAGGTGGGATGTCTTAGCAAGCTGAAGTGTTTGCCACATGGGACTGAAGATCTGAGTTGGATCCTGGGAGGTCACAGCAGGAGAGAAACAACCCTGAAAGCTGTCTGCACACCTGCTCCCTTCCCCCCGACATGATAATAATACAATAATGTTTTTTGAAAAGAAGAAAAAGAAAATGGGCTTGCGAGCCTGGCAGTGTTCGCCCCGGGACCTACCAGCTAGACAGTGGGCCGATGGCTGAATCTTGGCAGACGTCCCTGTCCTCATCTGATAATACAGATGTGTGAACAAACCTCCCTGAGTTATGAGCCTGGCAGTGTTCGCCCCAGGACCTACCAGCTAGGCAGTGGGCCGATGGCTGTCCCTGTCCTCATCTGATAATACAGATGTGTGAACAAACCTCCCTGAGTTATTACGAAAACTGAACACAATAAATGCCCGGCACAGACAAGAACTTTGAGCTGTGCTTCACAACTCTTGGTTTTCATGATGCTGTGTGATCTTGGTTCTCTTCTGGGATATTTTTTTTTCTGTGTTTTTCCCTATGCTGATATCTTTCCTCTTCAAATACCCAAGACGTGGGGGAGGGTTCAAAGGCTTAGATCACAGCTCTCTTCTTGACCTTGCTTTGGTCTCCCAGCTTGGTTTCCTCCCTACTCTCTACTGATGAATTCCAAACTACGTTTTCACCACTGATTTTCAACAGCCCTTGACCCTGTGTTTTCAGACGTCTATGTGACAGTTTGTGGAAGTCTTAATGTTGCTCATGACTCAGCAAGGCCCCAAATTAATCTCAGCATCTTTTTACCTAAATCATGTCACAATAAAGTTCTCTCTCCCCGGATCCTTTCCTCCTCCCTTCCTCTCTCCCTGCTTCCCTCCCTCCCTTCCTCCCTCCCTCCCTTCCTTCCTCCTTCCCTCCCTCCAGGTCCTCTGCAAGAGCAGTCAGTGCTCTTAACCGCTGAGCTATCTCTCCAGCCCCCCAAAATGTTTTTTTTAAATCCCTGAACTACCAGGTCAGTTTTGGGTGCAAGGAGAAACATCTCATAGTTTTAAATCCTTTTCTTTCACTTTATTATTTTTTAATTTAATGTTTGAAAATCCCATACATGAGTACTGTCTTTGCATTATTTCCATCCCTCCCCGTCCCCTTCCAACTCTTCCCAGGCCCCCCACTCCTTCCCAATTACTGGTTCTCTTTTTGGATTATTATTGTTTCTTAGTTTCAAATTTTCGCATTTTGCACCTGAATAAAAAAATTTTTTGTGGGGGTGGGAGGTTGAGATCCTGTAACCCCAGCTGGCCTGGAGCTCCCTGTATAGACTAGACCTGCCTCTGCCTCCAGAGTGCTGAGATTAAAGGTGAGCACCACCATACCAAGCTTACCTAAACAAATTAAATGGTTGGTGGCAGTATGTTCTGTGTGAGCTTCCAAGGGCAATGTAAAAGTTTCTCTCAGCAACGGTGAGGCCATGGCAGTTTTCTGCAGTATGTTTATGTCTTAATACTAGCTCCTATATATACCAGAGACAGCTTCAGATTCATTTTTTATAGTTTAAATAAAATTGTACCTTAAGTTAGTAGTTAAGTTAGTGGACTACAATTTATTTATTTATTTTATGTATATGAGTGTTTTGCTGCATGTATGTAAGAGCACCCACGCATTCACTGTTCCCAGAGGCCAGAAGAGGGAATTGGATCCCCTGGAACTGCAGTTACAAATGGTTGTTAGCTGTCATCTGGGTGCTGGGAACCCAAGCCATGTCCTCTGCAAGAATGGCCAGTATTCTTAACTGCTGAGCCATCTCTCCAGTCCCAAATTAGTAGACTTTTAAAATACTGATTTAGACTTCTCAATAAATGGGAGTGCTACTCTCTGGGTTGAGAACAGAACTGATGCTCATAGAACCTGATGAGCTAGTTAGAACCTGCCTACTCTTTCACCATCTATTAGAACCCACTTCCTCCTTCCCAATCTCCACACTCAGAGCTGAAGTTGTGATTGCCCACCTGGAGCACAGGTCCATATAGGAATCACCTCATCCCTTCAATGAAAAAATCGAATTGAGAACCTGAAGCACGGACAAACTATCTATTCAGACCTGATCAGAAATAAACCAAGCTGCAACAGCAATAAAAACAGAAACAAAGTTCTACTCAAAAGAGGCAGGATAGAATTCATCTCAGACACACAACCAATAAATGAAGCTGAATGCACAAGTCACAACGGAAGAACATAAATAAGATGAAAAATCCAAACAGTATGTTCCCACCAAATTCCATTAGTCCCGTAGAAGTGTTCTACAACGAGAAAGGCCAAAAGGAATCCAAGGACACAGAACTCAGAACAACTGGAAACATGATCAAAGAACTGAAGGATTTTAAAGGATGTGCGAAGAGACAACTCAAGGAACTCCAAAAGGATGGGGATAAACCAGTGACCGAAGCCCAAGAAAATACAACTAGACAGCCAAGTGAAGTGACAGAAACAGCTCAGGTTTGAAAAGTGAGTTCCTGAAAGAGATCGAAACATTAAACAAAATCTAAGCTGAGGTGAGGAAATCATGGAAGTCTCAGATAAATGGACGGAACTAGAAACTGCCATACTGAGGTAACCCAAACTCAGAAAAACAAGTGACACGTGTTCTCTCTCATTCGTGGATCTTAGCTCCAAATTCTTAGATGTATGTATCCTGATATAACTAAAGGAGCCAGGGAAATGGAAAATAACCAAGGAGGTAAAGGAGAAGAAGGAGCTTGAGAGAGGGGGATAGCAGGAGACAGGAGTTAGCAAGGGGAAAATAGGAAAATGGAGGTACTGTAATTGGGGAGGATAGAAGGGAGCCTATACAGGGGCGGAGAAAGGAAAGAGAAATAAAGCTTAAGTGGTATGAAAAAACCAAAGGGAACTACTGTATTTAATAATAAAACACGCACATATAATATACTAAAAAACAGACATATAGTAGGGAATGCACTTGTATAGCTCATGGCTTTATAACAAAACCAGCTCCAGGCATGAAACCCCCCCCTTTGAGTTGTTAGTCAGGGACTCCCAAAATAACACAGGCTACAGCCACAGCCCTGGATTACCTCCCAGAACTCGAAGGTCAGACCCTGTTGCTGAAGACACAAGACTTGGAGCAATGGAGCCGGAACTGAGCTGAAAACCTCTCCAAGGAGCATGGTATCAGAGAGTGCTGTGCAAGCTGCCGAGGGACAGAACCAATCAAGGATCCTACGCAGCTGTAAAGTCTCTGAACCACACAATGACTGGCCCAGCGAACTGTCTCTATAGTGCAATAGTGGTATGTTTATCTTGGGAGTAATCAACAGCT